ATGTTGGACTTGCTTAAAATAATAAAAATCAGTTAGAATCCATGGTACCAGCAATTTACTAAGGCTATATTGACCAGCTACTGTTAACTCAAGCAGAGCAGAGCATAGGTAAACAGTCTAATGCTCTAGGTCCGGAAAGTGGGCTCCAAAATCAATCTACTTGGAGCCAGATCCCAGCCCTACGACTTCATAGCTGTGCGACCTTAGGAAGTATCCATCTCTTCGCTGTAAACAACAATAATAACCCACTTTAAGTGACTGCCCTGTCTAGGTTAGACTTAATTTTCAGCTTCTTTTAAAAAAAATACAAAAATAAATAAATAAAATAAATACAAAGGTGGGGCGCCTGGGTGCTCAGTCAGGTGAGTATCTGACTCTTGATTTTGGCTCGGATCCTGATCTCTCAGTTTGTGAGTTCGAGCACCACATGTGGCTCTGTGTGGACAGGGCAGAGCCTGCTTGGGACCCTGTCTCTCCCCTTCTCTCTCTACCCCTCCCCTGCACGTTCACACTATCTGTCTTAAGATAAATAAATAAACTTTTAAAAAATAAAAACAATAAAACAAAATACATACAAAGGTAAAAATTTCAGGACACCCTGTTGACCAGTCACCACTGAGTCTCCAACTTAGCCCACTTAGTCAACTGCTTGCAGGTTTTGTCCTCTGCTAGTGGCTGTAAATAACATTTTCATTTCTTTGTTGTTGGTTTTTTGTTTTTTTTTTTTTACAAATAGTTTACTGTCAAATTGGTTTCCATATAACACCCAGTGCTCATCCCCACAAGTGCCCTCCTCCATGCCCGTCTCCTCCCTCCCCCCCACACCCATCAGTCCTCAGTTTGTTTCTCAGCATTCAAGAGTCTCTCATGGTTTGCCTCTCTCCCTTTCCCCCACCATTTCCCCCCTTCTTCTCCCCCTTGTTCCTCCGTCAAGTTCCTCCTAATCCTCCTATACGTGCAAACATATGGTAGCTGTCCTTCTCTGCCTGACTTATTTCGCTCAGCATAACACCCTCAAGGTCCATCCATGTTGCTACACATGGCCAGGTTTCATGGTTTCTCATTGCCATGTAGTATTCCATGGTATAGATAAACCACATCTTCTTGATCCATTCGTCCGTTGATGGACACTTAGGCTCTTTACATTTTCATTTCTTTGGATAGATCTGGATCATCTACTTTTGAGGAGTAGCCACAGAAGGCCTTTTGCCTGCAAGCAGTGTCTGCTTTAAAGAAGAGACCCTCCCCTGCTTGCTCGCTCTCTCTCTCTCTCTCTCTCTCTGATGGGCATGGAGGAGGGCACTTATTGGGATGAGCACTGGGTGTCATATGGAAATCAACTTGACAATAAACCATGTGAAAATAAATAAATAAATAAATAAATATTAAAACATTTTTTAAAAAAAGAAAGGTGTTCTTATTCTCATAGCATCTCATACATCTCAGAAAAGTGCATCTGGCTTAAAAATTGGAACAATTAACTGTCAACCCTCAATTAACTATAAGCCCCACCAGAGTCAAACTAAAAGTTCTCTTGGGTACCTCAGATCTGCGAACTTTCCTTTCAGGCCACACCTGCAGCTTGACTTTGGTTTGTGTTCTTTCGGGATGGACTTCATATTGCGACCCTTCAGCCAGTGACAAGCCAAATTAGTCCCACCAAAATCTCTCTTCTGGGTCCTCAGACTGTACATGGACACATGGACAGCTAACTATTGTGCATATATTATTCCTAAACTATATCATATACTTTTCCGACCTGTACACATAGTATTTACTGTACTCGGTATTTTAAACAGAGCTCAGTAATGTATTTTGAGACTGGCTGATTAGGGAGAGTAAAAGAAAGCAGCATCATTCTTGCCAATATATTATAAAATGCTACTTTTTGTAGAGGGCAACCTTAGAATAAGAAGCTCATTCACCAGTAGATGGCACTGGTGATTTAATTTCCAGACAGATTATTACAATGGAAAAGCAGTAAATTCCCAAGAATGCCTGATTTCATTTTCCGTCCCGGTATTGAGTTTTCTCCCAGCTTCCAATGTCCTTACCATCTTCCTCAGCTCTGTCTGCCTCTGCCCTAAATAAGAGCTGCCTGAACACGTGTAGCAACTTCCTTAACGAGACTTCACAGTTTTTACCTCTCTTCCAAGCTATCCCAGGAATTAAACTGTGATTTAGTATGTATGACCCACGAAGGAAAATAGTGAGAGGTGGGGCTTTATTAAGTTGAAAACTCGGGGGGCGCCTGGGTGGCTTAGTCGGTTAAGCGTCCGACTTGCGCTTAGGTCATGGTCTCGCAGTTCGTGGGTTCGAGCCCCGCGTCGGGCTCTGTGCTGACTGCCAGCTCAGAGCCTGGAGCCTATTTCGGAGTCTATGATTCCCTCTCTCTCTGACCCTCCCCTGCTCACGCTGTCTCTCTCTCTCTCCTAGAAATAAATAAAAAAACATTAAAAAAAAAAAAAAAAAAAAAAAGTTGAAAACTCCTGCCCTGCAAAAGACACCGTGAAGAGAATGAAAAGACAAGCCACATACTAGAAGAAACCATTTTTTAAAATGTTTTATTTATCTCTGAGACAGAGAATGACAGCATGAGCAGGGGAGGGTCTGATAGATAGGGAAACACAGAATCCGAAGCAGGCTCCAGGCTCTGAGCTAGCTGTCAGCACAGAGCCCAATGCGGGGCTCGAACCCACGAACCGTGAGATCCCAACCTGGGCTGAAGTCGGACACTTAACTGACCTAGCCACCCATACAAGAAACCATTTTAAAACCTTACAACTGATAGAGAACTTATTTCCAAAATGCAAAAAGAGCTCTTAAATGCTAACTAACCCAATTTTAAAAAGACAAAAGATCTGTCTGAACACCCACCACACCAAAGAAAATAATCAGAGGGCAAATAAGCACATGAAAAGGTGTTCAACATTTGTAATTAAGGAATTGCAAACTGAAACTGTAATGAGATACCAATACACCTGTATTAGAATAGCTAAAATTAAAACCAAACCAAACAGACAAACAAAAAGCCTGACAACATCAATGGCTGGAGCAGTAGGAATTCTTACTCATTGTTGATGGAAATACAAAATGGAGCAGCCGCTTTGGAAGACAGTTTGATAGAACCTTACTAAGCTAACTGTTGTCTTCACATACAATCCAGCAACCACACTCCTGAGTATTTACACGACTGATTCGAAAACACATTACATGCAAATGTTTGTAGCAGCTCTGTAGTAATCAAACCCTGGAAGCAGTCAAGATGCCCTTCAAAAGGTGAGAGTGTAAACAGACAGTGGTACATCCACGCAGTGGAGTATTATTCAGTAACAAATATGAATATATGAATATATTTGCATATATTTGAATATGCTATCAGGGTCCCACCTATGAATCTCAAATGAGTGTTGCCATTTAAACTGAAAGAAAACAATGTGAAGAGGTTACATACTCTATGATTCCAATCATAAGACATTTTGGAAAACTATGGTGTAAAGATCAGTGGTTGCCAGTGGTTCCGTGAAGAGGGAGAATTAACTGTGTGACACATGGGGAGTTGTTTAAGGTAGGGTACACAGAACTTTACATAGTCATTTAGAAGGTTGTGGGGTCCCTGGATGGAACACCAAATGTAACAAAATAATCTATATTGCAGAAGTATGAGACAACCTTACTAAAGGAAGGGTGAGAGGGTGGGAAATACGCTGACCTATGTAACTTTGTAAAGGAGTGGAATCTGTAAGACCAAATGTAGTGGGAACTGTCCATAAGCACTGTGTTCCATTTAATAATGGTGCTTCTCATGGGATTCGGGGTTCGCAATCTGGCACTACTATGCATATACATTAAAATTGAATGATTCAGAGCTGCCTGGGTGGCTCAGTTGGTGAAGCATCTGACCTTTGGTTTCAGCTCAGGTCATGATCTCATGGTTTCATGAGTTCGAGCCCCAGGGCGGGCAGTGCTGATAGCGAGGAGCCTGCTTAGGATTCTTTGTCTCCCTTTCCTCCACTTATACTGTCTCTGTCTCTCTCAAAATAAATAAACAAATAAACTTAAAAAATAAAAACAAATAAAAAGAGAAAATTGAAAAATTCACTAAATCGGTGGTGGGTGGTGGGAACCAGGTTTTTCACTATGGGAGTGGAAGTTTATAAGTAAACAGGGGAAGGAGGCTAGAATGACCTGTGGGATAATGGATTATAGGTGACCACTTCAGTATGAACTCCTGTTTATACTGGATATAATACGATTATATGCCTAATATGGATACAAATGGTTACATATAGAAATATTTATAGGTGTGGGTGTCTATAGTTCAGTGTACATACCCACTTCCTCACTCCCTCAGCTTAGAGGACCTAGAGGCAATGACACTCAGTAGCAACCAGCATACCGAGAACCCAAATCTTGGTTTCCAATACTATTCTCTAGTGAAAGGAGCCAGGACTCATTGGAGAAATGGATGCTTTTAGGACTGGGGCATTTTAAGCCTGAAGTAAATTGTAGTGCCCGAAGTAAGGCACTGCCAAACACGCGCGCGCGTGCACACACACACACACACACACACACACACAATGATGGGGGTCTGTCCAAGGGACAGTGGGGCCATCTAAGAGTTCTCAACTGCCAAAGCTGCATACTTTAATCAACAAAATAAATAACGATGGGGGCGCCTGGGTGGCTCAGTGGGTTAAGGGTCCGACTTCGGCTCAGCTCATGATCTAACGGTTCGTGGGTTCGAGCCCCACATCGGGCTCTGTGCTGACAGCTAGCTCAGAGCCTAGAGCCTGTTTCAGATTCTGTCTCCCTCTCTCTCTGCCCCTTCCCTCCTCATGTTCTGTTTGCCTGTCTCTCTCTCAAAAATAAATAAACATTTTAAATAAATAAATACACAATGTAATCAGTGAAATTGAATAGTCTTATTCTGGTGGAGTAAACACCTGACTTGAGGCTGAAAGCTCTGCTGAAATCCTGGCCATGCTGTTTGTTCCCAGTGTTAGCTGCAGTACGGCCTATGAATATTCTACAGGAGGACAGTGATGTTGCAGCCAACTGGAAGAAAAGAGCTGTTCTTCTGGGCGTCCCTCTGACTGCTGACTCTCGTCTCTCAAGAGGACATCAAGATGGTGGGATTGGCATGGTCTAGTGTCTGGTCCCAGCATTAGGATGTCAGAACTTGAAATTACTAATTTCCTCAAATTAGTTGATCTCTACAAATGCAGGATGATGACAAAATACACAAGAAAATAGTGTATGAGCCAAAGGGCAATTTGAAATATAGAATGTAAGGAAAAATTCCAAGGAAATATAGTCAGACAAATGTACTTGGAAGATGCTTAGTGAACACAGAATCAGGAAGATAAAAATGTGACATCTTGGCATAAGTTAAACCTAGTAGTATTTATTCTTTATGTTCTGACATACATTTCTCAACATTTTTTAACACAATGACAATGATTGTTCTTGAACGAATGGTAGATTAAAACTGAAGTTTTTCCCAGGACCATTTTAAAGAAAAGAGTAAGTCTGTGATCAGTCTTATAATCTGAAATGATTCCCATGTTTTACTAACAAAATAATTATAGTAATACAGTTTATTTTTTACCAGCAGTGCTTATACTTTGATTTTTATTATAGTAAGGGTTTTTTTAAGTTCTGTTTTTGAGATCATTCCATAAGATCTTTTTTGTTTTTGTTTTGGAAAGATACAAAACAAAACTCAGGGTTCTTACCTCAAGTTATCACTCCGAATCTAGTAAATGAATAGAGTGGTGACCTACAGAGAGGTCATGAATTCTACCTAATGTTAAGAATTTATTGGCTAAGTGATTTTGCGCCAGTTCTTTAAACACTCTGTGGGGCACCTGGGTGGATCAGTTGGCTAAGCGTCCAACTTCGGCTCAGGTCACGATCTCGCTGTTCATGAGTTCAAGCCCCTCATCGGGCTCTGTGCTGACAGCTAGCTCAGAGCCTGGAGCCTGTTTCAGATTCTGTGTCTTCCTCTCTCTCTGACCCTTCCCTGCTCAAGCTGTCTCTATCTCTTTCTCAAAAATAAATAAAACATTTTAAAAATTAAAAAAATAAACAACGATGCGTTCAAATATAATCTAAGGTGTAAAATAAATAAATCTCTAAGTCCATAATGGTATACATATATACATACGTACATAGGAGAGAAGAGACAAATCTTCTATGCAAAAGAATAATAAATAACTCATGCAGATACTCCATCCTCAAGGAAGAGAAATATAACTTTCCACTCCGTAAGTGTGGGCTGAGCACAAGGACTTCCTTCCAGAGAGTTCAGTGTGGAAACGGTAAAAGAGTAACTTCTCAGTGGAGAAACGTGACAGTACTACCAACAGCCAGGTGACTGAGATCAACATAGTCATAGGTCACATAGACAGTGCATACCTTTGATAGGATGTGTGTGTTGCCTTTATCTTATACACTCATTGTCCAACCACGAGAAAGACATAGAGAATGTATTCTATGAAATACCTGAACAAAACTTCCAAAGTCATCAAAAACAAAGAAAGTCTGAGAAACTGTCACAGCCAAGAGTAACTTAAGGAGATATGACAATAAATGGTAATGTGGTGCCTTGAAAGGGATCCTGGAGCAGAAAAGAGGTTTTAGGTAAAAACCAAGGAAATCTGAATAAAGTATGAACTTTAATGAAAACCATTTTTTTCAATGTTTATTTATTTTTGAGAGAGACAGAGACAGAGCGTGAGCAGAGGAGGGTCGGAGAGAGAGGGAGACACAGAATCTGAAGCAGCTCCAGGCTCCGAGCTGTCAGCAGAGCTTGATGCAGGGCTCAGACTCATGAAGTGTGAGATCATGACCTGAGTCGAAGTTGGACGCTTAGCCTACTTCGAAAAACAATTTTTTAATAATGGTTTATTAATTATAACTAATGTCCCATATTAATGTAAGGTGTTCATAATATGGATGGAATGTATGTGCTGATGTATGGAATTCTGGACTATCTTCACAGGTTTCTTTGTAAGTCTAAAACTGTTTGAAAGTAAAAAGTGAATTTAAGAGCCTAGATTATATATAATTCACTTTTCCCAATTTTACTGAGATACAATTGGCATATAACATATGTAAGTTTAAGATGTGCGACATGATGATTTGATACATGTATATTGCAAAATGTATGTGTGTGTGTGGTGGGGATATTTAAGATTGACTGACTTAGCAACTTTCAAGTATATAATGCAGTAGTGTTAACTGTAGTCACCAAGCTATGCAATAGATCCCCAGAACTTACTCTTCTTTTTTTTTAATATTTTATTTATTTTTGAGAGAGAGATAGAGACAGCATGAGCAGGGGAGGATCAGAGAGAGAGGGAGGCACAGAATCTGAAACAGGCTACAAGCTCTGAGCTGTCAGCACAGAGCCCGACGCGGGGCGGGGCTCGAACCCACGAACCGTGAGATCATGACCTGAGCCAAAGTCGGACGCTCAACCGACTGAGCCACCCAGGCGCCCCCAGAACTTACTCATCTTATAACTGGAAGGTTGTGCCCTTTGACCAGTATCTCCCCATTTCCCCCACCCCACCCCACCCCACCCCACACTACCGGCTGCCACCATTTTACTCGCTGTTTCTATGAGTTAGATTCACATATAAATGAAATCATACAGCATTTGTCTTTCTCTGCCTGATTTATTTCACTTAGGGTAATGCCCTCAAGTCCATCCATGTTGTGGCAAATGACAGATTTTCTTCTTTTTCGTGGCTGAATGGTATTCCATTGTATATATATATACCACACCTTCTTTATCCATTCATCTGTGGACACTTAGGTTATTTTCCTAGGTTATGTATAATCCTAATGACTTGTAGATGGGAGGAACTTCCCATACCACAAAAGAGTAAGGCTAAAGCATTATCCTGAAGTTTTAACCTTTAAAAAAAACAAAACTACTGACCAGGGCACCTGGGTGGCTCAGTTGGCTGAGGTTCGACTTTTAGTTTCAGCTCAGGTCATGCTCTTGCAGTTCGTGATTTCGAGCCCCACGTTGGGCTCTGTGTTGATGGTGTGGAGGCTGCTTGGGTTCCTTTCTCTCCCTCTCTCTCTGCCCCTACCCTGGTCATGCTCTCTCTCTCTCAATAAACAAATAAACTTTAAAAAATTTTAAGGGGTGTCTGGGTGGCTCAGTCAGTTAAGCATCCCACTTTGGCTCAGGTCATGATCTCACAGTTCGTGAGTTCAAGCCCTGCGTCGGGCTCTGTGCTGACAGCCAGCTCAGAGCCTGGAGCTGCTTCAGATTCTGTGTCTCCCTCTCTTTCTGCCCCTCCACCACATGTGCTCTCTCTCTCCAAAAAATAAATAATAAAACATTAAAAAAATTTTAATAAAAAATAAGTAAAAATTATTGACCATGCTGTGACTACAATATATATTAATGTCATCTGTCATGGCATTCTGATGGACTTTCACTGATTCATGCAAGGGTCATACTATCTCTCCAAAAGGCCCTGAGAAATATGTGAGACTGAGTTGAACTGACATGTTGCCTGGAAGTTATTACTGAGATTTTGTGAATGGAAGGAGGGTAGCTAAAGCCCTATAAATCAGGGGTAAGTCCCCTACACTGCATAATTTCCTTGTCCCAAATAGCAATGGGCATTTCACTGAGAAACACTTGAGATGGAATTAGGCATTATTTCTATTTTCTGAAGACATAGACTATCAGCATGGGACTACATTTTAATATTACTTCCACCATCTTGATTTGTTATTGCTTTTTATATAATTGAAATTACTCACTTATATTATTGTCACTTTCTTCAATAAAGTTCTGTGAAGTAGCTAGAATGGTCACCTTGATATTATAAGTCAGGACCATGGCAAGCGTAGATGTTTTGTGGTACCCCCATGTCAATCAGCAGGCAACCCCATCATCTGCTTGTCATTTTATGACGGACACAGGTGAATCTATGTTTTTCAGTTTGGAGAAATATCCAAAATGAGGAGCTATATTTTCCAATTGACTTTTTTTTTAATAGTTTATTTATTTTTGAGACAGAAAGAGACAGAGCATGAGTGGGGGAGGGGCAGAGAGCAAGGGAAAAAAGGAATCTGAAACAGGCTCCAAGCTCAGCCCAGAACTCCGACACAGGGCTCGAACGCATGAACTGCAAGATCATGACCTGAGCCGAAGTCAGACACTTAACTGACAGCCACCCAGGTGCCCCTACCACATTAACTCTTTGTCCTAATTAACTCTCAGGTGAAAGAGAAGCTTGGTGCAGATCATTGACATAAATTACAGTATTCTACTTCTCACCCATCATAAAGAATGTGCCATTTTATTGTCACAAGATAGATTTCCATTGATTTCAAGTTAACTATATTCTAAGGAAAGGTGTCATTAATTTGTTAATCTTCATTTGTAATGAATTTCTACATACTACAACCGCCACCTTCTATAAAGATGAGGTGAAAATTGAGGGACATGTTTTCAGTTTTTAAAAATGTGTACTGTGAGTTTTACTTAGAAAAACTCTTGAAGTTACTTTCCAAATTAATAGCATCAACAATACACACATGCATACACACATACACACATACATAAAAACAGTTAACTTCAGAATAAAAAAATTATAGTTTTGTAACCATTTCAGTAAAGAAATTTCTGGTTAATTTAATTTTGTGGTGAACTTAAGGTTCATCGTCTGCTACATTTACTTTCCAAATTTCTTTTTGGTTGGTCCTGGGTGGCTCAGGTGGTGAAGCGTCCGACCTCTCCTCAGGTCATGATCTCGCGGGTTTGTGAGTTCAAGCCCCGTGTTGGGCTCTGTGCTGGCAGCTCAGGGCCTGGAGCTGCTTCAGATTCTGTGTCGCCCTCTCTCTCTTACATCCCCTGTTTGCACTCTACCTCTCTCTCACACGCACAAATAAACATTAAAAATTTTTTAAACTAAAAATATTTTTGAAAATCTCTTTTGGAAGTACAATCGAAACCATGACAATATATGTAGCAGGATAACAAGGATAGAACACGTTGCCTGCATCCCTCCCCACTGGTGGGTAGAAACACATGGAAGATAAAACCTCACCTGATAAAAATGGACTTTAGAGGAAAAAAGTTAAATATTGTTTAAGG